AACCCAATGACCTTGTTTCTGACATGTGTGATGATGCTCCGGAAAGTTTTGAGCAGGTCGTTCTGAATCTGGACAAAAGAGGCGTTTGGAGAGACGTTGTAAAATCGCCGGCGATTGATTTTGCAAAAAGGGAATATGAGACTTTCGAGAGGGATATGGATCAAGCTTCAAATCTCGCTCGTGACTTGTTCGATGTTCTTCGAACCCATAGCCCTAAATTAAGAGTGAGAGATTTTGAACGAGAGCTCGAGAAAATAGACCAACAGGGAGTTTTGAAAGTCCTTGCAGACCGTAATATTTCAGGTGAAAATTATGCTGATATATTCTATGCATAGTAACAAGAGAAAATGAACTAAGAGAAGGAATCCCCGTGCCCCATCATGTGCACACTTTGATACTATTTTTAGAATCATTGATGCTATTTCTAACTCGTTACCATACCCGCGCGATGATCATGCTTCCCTTTAATGTCTCGTTTTAGTGAGCGAAAAGCGCCATATTTCGCTACGTCCACGACAAAAACACARGCTTTTGTTTACTGCAAGACTGGAAGCCGTCTACTCTCGAGAAATCAACCAATCATGTCCATCGCGCAAAACATCTCCAAGCTAAAAATAGCATCAAACTGTGCACATGATAGTTACAAGGCTATATAGGTAGGATTCCTTCTCTAAGTTCATATTCTCTTGTAGTAATTAAGTATTCCTTCATGAAATTACGAGCACAGGAAGCCCAAKCAAGGTATTCCTGTTACCTATACTGAAGGAATGCAAGTGGATCTATGTGGATTTGTATACACTACCTGGAGATGATCATTATGTTTCCCTTTAGCTTATTCTTTTCTTTTCTTCTTGATAGGTGATATGCTGCTTCGTGAACTTTCCGAAATGCCCGATATTATGCTTGATATAGAGCACATCCTAAACGATCCCCAGGACATGTCCTTGTGGCAGCTTGCAGAGCGTTTAAAAAGGCGGTATGACATCAATCTTGATGCAAATATGTTTCGACACCGGGGAAACTATGCAAACCCAACCTATCATTTGATGGAGCATGTCCTTGCACGTCATCCTGAGGAACAGACAATTAAAGATCTGGTGATTAAGTTGATAAACATCGACCGTCAGGACTGCCTGGGCATTATTGGAGAATATCTAGAGGGTAGGTGCAATTATTACTCAAAAACCCTTGCCTCTGAGCCTTTACTCTACGAGGAAAGCGAATTAGATTCACCTCATTTGACGTCATATTTGCATGTAACCRCCATGTTGGTTGAATGCTTTTGTTATTTTATCCAACATGGTGGTCATGAAGKTTGTTAGTTGGGAAGCTTACGTTGCGAGCAATTGATGTAATGTATGATGAAAATACAATGAATCGCACCTAATAAAATAGATAGAACGACAATAGAAT